AGGAGGGGTTGAGTAATCGTTCTTCTCAGTGGCCCCATCATGATCTCTGTTGTCATCTAGCATCTTCAGTCACAAGGACATCAAGACAGGCTGAGGTAATGTTGACTTTGACTTTAGGAAGTTGTATAACTGGGGAGGAGTATCAATGCTATTTTGAAATCAGATTTGCTGTGTTTTTAGGATACAACCTTGTATTGCAAACAATATTCCAAGATTTGGTTGTTTAAAGCAACAAAGAACTTTCTTTCTCTCTTACGTAGCACTCTAAGAAGTCAGCGGCCCAGAACTGGAACGGTGGCTTCACGGTACTGGGGACACATCTGGTTGCTGTGTCGCCTCCAACATGTTGCCCTCTTTGGCTTAACTGATGATGACTCACTACCACGTCTGCATTCCAGCTAAAGGGGAGGACAGAAATAGGAAGGGGAGCAGGGGTCTTTCTTTTCAAGGGCATGACAAAGTGCAAACATCACATGCACTCGTGCCTCTTGGCCATCACCAGTTCCATGACCATACTTAGAAGCAAATATGGCTGGAAAAAGTGGTGTGTAGCTGAGAGAACATGCATCCAGAAGAAACTGCTACTGCTATTAAAGAAGGAAGGACGGATATAACCGGGATCACTAGGTCCCCTGGCCATAATTGAGATGGTCACTCGCCAAGGAATGGAGGAGGAATTCCTAATCTGGGATTCCCATCCACAAGACTCTTAGGTTGTGAAGATTAAGGTCAAAACAATGAAAACAAAGATAGTAGCAGCTAACACACACTGTTTTCTTGCTTTATGCCTCTTGGTACTAAGAGTTTTGTAAACATTATGCATTTTATCTTCATGATAATCCTACAGGATCAATAGTATAATTATCCCAATCTTACCCATGAAGAAACTGAGATGCATCAAGTTCAGAAACATGCCCAAGGTCATGTAACTATTAATAGTATGTGGCCAAGTGGAATCCAAACCCATGTGTTTCTATGCCCCAAGTTATTCTCTTAACCACTTCAAAGCAGATATTAGTAGTGCTCTGAAATACTTCAATATTTCAAGCTAAACTTGAACTAAATTGGCATACTTCTCCATTACCAAACATCTGAGCCAGCTGAAAAGTGTTTGGGGGCTTGAAGGATATCAACGTACATTGGTTATTCCATTTTTCAAAGACTAATGAGAGTTTGGGGGCCTTACATAGACCTCGATTAATTTTTAAAAGGTGAGACCATGAATGATTGATTATTTATTAAATGCAATTTGTTTGATATATAAGCTCTTTCTAAACATGGATTCCAGAGTGAGGGGCAAATAACCTAAGGGGTAGTTAGCTGAGCACAGGGTGGGAGATGACGTTGCGAAGGTTCCACACTGCCAGGCCTCTCTCAGAGCCTGTGCTGAGAGGAGCTGTAAGCCGTGAGCGGAGAAGGGAGAGCCTGGCCTGCCTCAAAGGAGGGCATCTCAGGCACCCGAGGAGGCACAGCAACATGGTATCAGTAAACAACGTGGAGCCTCCGTCAGGCTGATCCAAGAGTCAGGCGAGGGAGGGTTGGAGATGTGGGTCTCTAGTCACCAGGCCGCCCTTCCAAGAACTGAACAGAAGAGCTGAGCCAGGAAGTATGACAGGCAAAGGGTGGACTCTGAGGTGCAGCTGCTGTCCTCCTCATGCATCAGCACATTAGAACGTTTGGGAAGGGAAAGGGAATAGAATGTTCCTTCCCTCCCCAAAAACAGATGGGTAATTAGATGGAGGGTGGGAGCCAGATGCTGCACTTCCCCTGAGACCAGCAGCAGAGGGAATGGGCTGGCTCTGCAGAAGGCATTTCTGTTCCTGGAAAGGAACATAATATTGGGGAAAGAATCAAGGCTTCAGGGATTTTTGGAGGGGAAATAACTGTAAGGGACAGGGCTTCCTCCCTCCATGTCAAGTCTCTTCAGCCTCCTCTCTATGCCCCAAACAAGCAAGCAGGTGAATGCTTTATATCTTTACTTTTAGAGAGAAATTTTTGCTACATGTATAGTCGCTGGAGAGACAAAGAGGCATAAAGTGAGAAATCACCCCCGGGGAGATGGCCATGCTGCAATCCCTTCTCCTTCATACTCCTCTCAGGATCTTGGGCACACACACACACACAGGCAGCCTCCAGATGGGACTTGAACCACAGTTGGCCACATGGGAGTCCAGCAACATAACCATTACGCCATCTGCTGGTTCCAAGAATGCTATTCTTACGAGATCTCGCCTAGTTAGGCCTGCCAAGGTATCACTTCAGGAAAACTGCTCTCTTGTTTCTGCTGATGCTTGGTCAGCTGGTACTTGTTTCAGTGGCCTGGTTTTCTGTGCTTTTCACTAGAGTGATACAAACTATCCTCCCAAGTGTGAGAAGTATTCAACTAAGTTCTCTCTGAGAAGCAGCATCCCCTGAACTACGAGCCACAGTCTAATGTAATGTGCCTTGACAATGGATCAGCTGCACTTGTTAGCTAGGAATCTGAAACAAGTCCCTGGGGGACACGTCCTCCACCGTGACCTAAACTATGACTTTGAAATGATGACAGATTTGGGCTTGGCAAAGAGCAGATAAAGAGGTCTAAGATCAATTCCTAGGTCTTTCCTGGATCAGCTTACAGACCTTTCTCCCTGAATCTTTCAAGCCAGTGCTGACTCAAAACCTGCAATAACTAAAATCAGTGGTGACAGGTCGATAAGTGTATGTATCTGTGAGATATCAGGTGGACAACGGCATGGACATCTACCCAGAGTCTGATTATCACCCCAGACCGAACTGGCCTTTTCTTCCTCTGACCTTCTGCCCTTTACTGTTTATATTGTTATGGGGTTAACTACTCATTATCTTCTTCATTGAAAATAAGACATCCATCCATTCATTCATTTTCTAAAAAAGAGTGTGAGGAGAAACACCCCCCACAGGTCTTCACACTGAGATCCTCCCCGCAGTCCTGCAGTCAGCCGGCATCATGGGAGTGCCCGGGCACGTAGCATGCTCTGGTGGACCCGGACAGAAACCCACGCCTTCCCACATGGCCTTGGCCTTGTGTGGCAATGCCCTTACTGCGTCACCGTGGCTGGGGCTCAAAGTGGTTTTTGTTTTTTGTTTTTTTTGTTTTTTTTTTCTTTGAGAGATTTTGCTATAGGGTGTGTGTGCGCAACACTGGTCCCTCAAAGTAGGCTGTAATGTCCTTAATGATCAAAACCATAATGTGACTATTTTCAGTAAACAAACATCCTTATCATTTAGTACTGAGTTGAACAGTTGCTGTAACAAATGCATTCAGAGTCTGAAGTTAAATCAGACCAAATTATTGATCATTTGAACATTTGGTCAACATTTTCTGGCCTAAAGAATGTAGTTCTGGAACACTGCAGAATTCCGGCCTCCTAGAATGACAGATGTCTCTAACGCTCAGCATCCATGCCTGTTCTGCCCCTGGACTATAAGCCACTGTTTCTCTGAGAACAGTGCGAAGCTCCACCTATCTGAGACTAACCTGAAGATGTTTCCTAACATATGTGGATATTTAACTCTGACTCTATCTATCAGAATCTCTAACGGATGGGGTCTCAATTCTGGGCATTTTTTTTTTCTTTTTTTGAGAGATTTTCACTGTAGGGCGCGTGCGCTCACCAGACAGACAGAGAGAGACATAGAGACAGAAAGCGAGAAATCATCCCCCAGGGGGGATGGTCATGCCGCAATCCCTTCTCCTCCATTCTCCTCTCGGGATCTTGGGCACGCACGCACACGCGCCCGGCGTGAGTTTTTTAAGCCACCGGGTCCGGGACACGAACCGCGGTCGACTACGTGGGAGTCCAGCGACATAGCCATTACGCTAACTGCTGGTTCCTGATTCTGGGTATTTTTAAACAAGGTGCCCGGGTCGTTACGCTGCACGGTAAAATTTGAGATGTGATTCTGAGCCAAGCTCCTCACTTCACAAATGAGGACACCGATTGCCCAGTTTGCCCAGTTAGTTCACGACAGAGGCTGAGCTAGAATGCAGTCCTGTGCAGCAGGAAACCCCCAAGCTGAAGTTTACCACCTCCTATTACAGCATGAGGGAATTATACCCTTGAGGAACTAATCAGTGCAGTTTCCCTACGAAACTCTCCTCCACGTTCTCAATGCGCCCCTAGGTGAAAATATACTTCTATGGCATGATCTGCTAGAAGTAGTTTCTCTCCCCTTTCTAGTATTTTTGACATGAGTCTTCTTCCAGTTCAAAACTATTGGGTCATCGGAAATGTCACGACACAGTTTTACACAGAAAAATACATCATGACTTTTCTGACAGCCCAATATATTCTTTTTGATTAAGAAAAATCTTTCTGGTACATTTGCATAGCCCTCCATGTGCATCCCAGAAGGTATAAAAATGGGTTTGCTAAACTGTCAGAATTAAAATTCTGATTTTCTCTTCCTCTGCAGGTTCAAGGCTAAGATGGGCTGTGTTGAAATGTACACAACTGTCCCCACTCACAGACACAATTGTCTTTATTGCCAGGATCAGCAGCCCTTCAGGTTACGCTGTGCCAAGTTCGAGGCCCACATCAGCAGCTGACTGAGGTCATTCCTGCAGCCTTGGGTCCTGGTCTGTCCCGAGAGATCATTTCAGCCACCCACATGCTGAGGGGAAGTTTTATAAATTAAGTCCTGGAGGTGGCAGTGAGATGAGAGATTGGAATGAGCTGGTTATGTCGTGAGGCTCACTTGGGCTAGAGAGGGCAGGGAAGAAAAGCCAGACTGCACAACAGCCTCACAGTGAGGGCACCTGAAGTGAAGGAGTTAAAACCTGAGTTGAAATGAGTCAATATAATGTTAGCTGATTTGTGTAAAAGTTTTACATCTTCCCCTTACTAGGGGTGCATGCAGAAGAAAGTGTATTAAAATATACATTTTAGAAATATTTTTGCCTTAAATTCATCTTTCATTTTGCCCTTAAATACATCTTCCAGAAGGAAAAAAAAAAATGGGAGTCCAGCGACGTAGCCATGGCACCACGCACTGGTCCCGAGGAAGCACTCGCATGGGGCATGGCCAGGTACGACCCTTTCTCTATTGTCCCTCCCGTTGCCATTTTAGGCATGTACGCCTGTGTGCCTAATGTGTCTGTCAAGCTGCCAGTGCTGGGATTTGAACCATATGGCCAGTCATAGGGCAGCTGTCTCCCCTAACCACTAGACCATGGGACCAGACCTAGTCCTATTTTATTTTTAATTAGCACATAAAACCATACATATTTATAAGGACGGTGTGCTGTGTCAATACATGCGCACATTGCTTAATGATCAGGTCAGGGTAATTAGCATATCCATCACCTCAAACATTTATCATTTCTTTGTGGTGGGGACATTTAAAATGCTCTCTAACAACTCTTTTGAAATATACAGTACATTATTAACGAATCCACCCTGCTGTGCAATAAAACACCAGAACTTATCCCTCCTATCTATTGTATTGTATTCATGGCCACTCTGACCCGTACCCTTCCCAGCCCCCTGTCCACCGGATGTAATTTATGCAGAGGCTTGAGATGTTTTGCATGTTCAGACTTGCCTCTACTTCCTGCTTCTATGACCCAGCATTTTTAGCTTCCACACATGAGTGAGACCATGTGGAACTTTCCTTCTGTGCCTGGTTTATTTCACTTAACATAATGTCCTCCAGGTTCATCCATGTTGTTGCAAATGACAGGGTTTTAATCTTTCTCATACATTCATTTTTCATTTTCTTTCTCCCTTCCCCCTCTGTCAGTTTTACACATTTTTGAAAGTCCATCTTTTTTGTGTAAGTACAAGGCTTACCCAAACTTCAATTTCAAACCATGCAGTTCAGTATTTCATTTATTAATTAAAAGGTTAATTCATTTATCTAACATCCACTGAGTTCACCTAGGTGTTGCCAAGTGTCTCTGGCACTGGAGATACAAGGAGGAGTGAAACACCTGAGGCCCCAAGGCACTCGGGGTCTAACTCATCATGTTCCAATCGGATGCCCTGTCTTTGCCCCTAACCCACAGAGCCCCTCCTGTCCTGTGGGACACAGTCTACTGAGTGTGTTCAGTTCAATCCTTAGTCTACCCTTATGTTCTCTTTCTGGTTCTTTCCAGTGCAGCTAGGGGTTTCTTTCTTTTTTTTTTTTTTGGAGAGGTTTTTTGCTATAGGGCGTGTGCACTTGCCAGACAGACAGAGAGAGACATAGAGACAGAAAGCGAGAAATCACCCCCCAGGGGCGATGGTCACACCGCAATCCCTTCTCCTCCATTCTCCTCTCGGGATCTTGGGCACACAGGCACACGCGCCCGGCGTGAGTTCTAAGCCACCGGGTCTGGGACGCGAACTGCGGTCAACTGCGTGGGAGTCCAGCGACATAGCCATTACGCTAACTGCTGGTTCCCCAGCTAGGGGTTTCTATGCTCTTCAAGCTCTGCCCCCACAGCTCCAGCCTCCAACTTCTCCACCTCACGTCAGGAGTCACCACCCTGACCCTCTCATCTTCCACTGATCTGCCAAGAAAAATCCCCACCCTCTCTACTCTCCTCACCTTGGATGTCCCCAGCATGCCCATTCTCTAAAGGAGTTTCTTTACATTGAAAGATACACACACACACACACACACACACACACACACATTCTATTGCTTTCAGTTCAGCTGCCTTGGGTCCTCATCAGTCCTCAGTGATTTAGGGAGGAGGGTTATCATGACAAGATGTAAAAAGTAGTCCTGCCTCAGTAGGCGCCAGCAGTGCCATGCTGGGGCAGCACATGCTCCGCCGGAGCCTGGAGCTCTAGCCAGCTAGTGGTCGAATGATGAGATGAGGGCTGTTGGCTCATCAGATTGTGATGAACGCTCTGTAGGGAGAAGACCTCTCTGTGCTAGAGAAAGTTATTTTTCAAATCACAGGATGAAGCACTACAGAGAGAGAGAGAGAGAGAGGACAAGTCAACACAAAGTCCTTGAGCCTCTAAGTGACAGCAAAGCCCACAACCCTTGCTGAGGACTGTAGCCACAAGGCCTTCCTTACAGGTTTTTTACATGCTTTCTGATTGGACAAGTGTTGAGCAACCTAAAAAGAAGTCTTTATTTACTGGCCAAGTGGTGCCAATGAGGTAGCATGTGGTAAGATCTCTGTCTAGATTGAAAGATAGCAAATCAGTTCAATAGAATCCTTCCTTTGGGGGGAATTTAAGCGATGAGGCAGTCATGGAGAAAAGACAAAGTAATCAAAGAAGCCAGGAAAGAACAAGGACAGAGAAGCTGAGTCATGAGTCATGGTGGCTGCAGAGGAGGGGGCCATGTGGGCGGCTACTTCTAGAGAAAGAGCAGGCGGCCAGTTGCTGGAGCTGCTTCTGGGTGACTCATTGTTCATCCTTACAATGGACATTTACCGAGCACCTGTTTTGTGCATTATTCAATTTTAATCCCAAGCCCAGAGAGTATCTAGTATTTCTTTACATGCTTCTCCTAGATTTAAGTCATTCAAGTTACCTGGGAGTGTTGTACATACTTGGAAGTTTAAAAGAACTAGGGGGGCATCCTTACACCCTAGCAGATCCCACATGGCTGACCAGGGTTTGAGTCCCAACTTTGGCAGCTTAAAACACATCAGGTATGTGTGCACACACACTCAAAATCTCAGCAGAATGGATAAACGGAGGAGAAGGGATTGTGCCATGACTATGCCCCACTGGGGCTGATTATCTCCTCAATGCATCTCTCTGTCTCTCTCTGGTAAGTCTGTATTCCCTCTGGCAATTAAAAAAAAAAAAACCAAAAAACCAAAGGCATTTGGTTCCCAGTGTGGTAGGATGCTATATGGCCCCAATTCCTCATTCCCTTGTGGTAACTGTATACATCCCTCTCCTTGCCGTGATCTTACAGTTGGGCTTGGTCTTGTCACTTGCTTTGACCATTAGGTGCCAGTGGATGTAATTCATGCGGAGCCTTGAGGTGTTTTGCATGCTCAGACTTGCCTTTGGCATTTCCTTGATCACCAGGATGAGCATCACAGGAAGCAGTTCTAAGCCCAACCCAAGGCTCAGAACTAAACACAGCTGAGGCCATCTCAGCCCAGCCACATTCCAGACGACCTTCAGAGGGTGAGTAAGAAAATAAAAGCTTTTTATGGTAAGCATTAAATGTTGAGGTATTTTTTTTTATTTTTTTGAGAGGTTTTTGCTATAGGGCATGTGTGCTTGCCAGACAGATAGAGCGAAACAGAGAGACAGAAAGTGAGAAATCACCCCCCAGGGGGGATGGCCACTCCGCAATCCCTTCTCCTCCATTCTCCTCTCGGGATCTTGGGCACGCACTGCGCCGCGGGGCATCTTGGGCACCCCCGCCCATACCCCCGACATGAGTTTTAAGCCACTGGGTCTGGGACGCGAACCACAGTCAACTACATGGGAGTCCAGCGACATAGCCATTACGCTAACTGATGGTCCCGTATGTTGAGGTATTTTTGACACTGAGGGAAATGAGAATCTTGAGAACTGGCAAGCTAATGAATTTGATAAGGGATTTTGTGATTCTGGATTTCTTAAATATATGGTATGGATGTAGGTACTTGATGGGTATTTTGTTTTGTTTTGTTTTTTTTGTTTTTTTTTTTTGCCATAGGGAATGTGTACTTTCCTGAGAGAGACAGAGAGAGAGAAAATGAGAAACCATTCCCCAGGAGTGATGACCATGCTGCAGTCTCTTCTACTCCATTCTCCTATCAGGATTTTGGGAATGCATGCACTCATACCCAGTGAGACTTTAAAGCCACCAGGTCCAGGACTCAAACCACTGTTGGTCATGTGGGAGCCCAGCACCTCAACCACAATTTCACCTGCAGACCCCCTGATGGACATTTTCAATGCATCACGTGTCAAAGGTTTGTTACTGAACTCAACAGAAGTCAGTTCTGGGATCCATTCTGGTTCCCAAATAGTCTTGGGACTTCAGTATCCAAATATGAAAACTCACTTCATTGGGACCAGCAGTTGACGTAATGACTGTTGCAGGACTCCCATGTAGTCGACCTTGGTTCGAGTCCCGGACCTGGTGGATCAAACTCATGCCACATGCGTGTGCATACACTCTCCTGAGAGGAGAGTGGAGGAGAAGGGATTGTGGCATGGCCATCCCCCCTGGGGGGTGATTTCTCACTTTCTGTTTCTCTCTCTGTCTCTCTCTCTGTCTGTCTGGCGAGCACACGCGCCCTATAGCAAAAACCTCTCCAAAAAAAAAAAAAAAAGGAAAAAAGAAAACTCACCTCATTATATGAATTTCTCTAGTATCTTCAGAGTGCTTGGCTGAGCTGACTCAGAATAAATGGTATTTATTAATTTATTTATTTAAACTTTTCAAAAGTTTATTATGTGTTTATTTATTTTTTGAGAGATTTTTGTTATAGGGTGTGGTGCTCACCAGCCAAAGACAGAGAGACAGAAAGTGAGAAATCACCCCCAGGGGGATGTCCATGCCACAATCCCTTTTATTTCATTCTCCTCTTGGGATTTTGGGCACACACACACACATGTGCCTGGTGTGAGTTTTCAGCCACCAGGTCTGGGACTCAAACTACGTGAGAATCCAGTGACATAATCATTATGCCATCTGTTGGTCCTGAGTTTAATTTTTTATTTAATGAGTGAGAGATACAGAACCAGAGAGACAAGACCTCAACAGGGTCTTGATGCCACAATCCACCCTCAGCTTCAGGCAGTCCAGATCATGGGTACGCACATGCCCATTGTACTCAAGGAGGTTTCTTATTGTGGATCCAAAACCTTCCTATTTGAATCAGTCTCATAGAGCTTTGCATTTGACCACTGTGCCAACATTCAGCCTCACAAATTGCATTTAAACATTATTTCATTTCATCCCATAACGTCCCTACAGAGTGCATAACAAGACTAGCAACCTTTCAGAAAGGAGACTGGAGTTAAGTGTAAGTTTTGCCCAAAATCTCACTACAGCAAGTGGCAAAGTGTCTTGAACCCAGATCTGACTCTCTAAACCCAATATATTCATCTCTGAAGGGCCTGGTGAGAATTTCTCTGAGGGAAATGAGGAAAGCTGGGGAAATGTCTAATGATGATAGTGGTCATCAAAGCACCTTTATTAGCCTCACTGAAGCATCAGGTTATGAATTTGATGGTACTTATTTTTCCTCCCAAATTAACTACCAAGTCTTACTCATTTCAAGATCGCTGATTTCTGC